ATATCGGTGTACGTGTTATCAATCCCGCTCAGATTCTCAGTGCCTGTGCATATTTTACCACTGACTGAATCCACGTCACTGGGAAATTTACATTCAAATAAGCCTTCCCAAAACTCTTGAAAAATAGTATTACCAGATGTGTTCAATGATAGAACATCCAACATGAAATCTCTTAGGCCTGACACCTCTGCTTTTGCAATAGAAAATCCTATTGCTCCACTAAGGACATAGTGGCCCTTGACAGTGGCTGTGTATGGGTCAGCGATCCAGGCCTCACTGCCAATCCATTGGTACCCTGTAAGATTGTGGTGAGCCATCTCCTGCAACAGCACATCCATGTCCATGTAGGACAGGAAGCCCACTATAACCCTGGAAGTGGACCTCTTAATAGTGTCAATTATTCGTAATACGTCTTCCTTTGGGTATGTTCTGTAAAAAGGTTCTGAGTACTCAATGCATATTCCTAGATGTTGGGCGGTCTCTATAAAAGTGGCCATTCCGTTATTGCCATAGTCATCATCTGTCCTGATGGCACCCACCCATGTCCAGCCAAAGTATTTGATCAGTTTGGCCAGTGCTCTGCTCTGGTAGTAGTCACTGGGGATGGTTCTGAGGAATGATGGATATTTCCTTTTGTCACTCAGACAAGCACAGGTGGAAAAGTGACTTACCTGTTGAACATAGATATGTTGTTTACTGGGCCTTTTACATCACATCTTCAGGTACTAGCCCATTCAGTGAAAGACAGTTAATATGTTTTACATAAATTAGTCTGTACATGACATTCTTCTGCGTGTTAAGATTTTCTGAAATGTTAAGCCTGCCTACCTACCACAGGTATATTAAAGGGTCCAATAGATGCTGAAATTGTAACAGTGAGAGATGATGAGGACTCTCCTATAATTGCCTGGACTGTAGATGGTTTGGTACAAAGTGTATCAGAAGCTTGTCCTTGGTGATCGTTTGCCAGGGTCATGGCTGCCCTCACAGCCGTAGCAACTGAACCACAGGTGTCATAGATCTTATAGCCCAGAGTGGTATTTGGCAGCAGAGATGTGCTGTTATTAATCTCCTCAATGGCAAAGATCATACTCTGAGCATACTGAAATGATCTGAGGTTTAAGCTAAAATGACAGATACAACATGAAGCATTACATGTCAGACAATCCTCAATTATGTAAGAATATTTTATTATTTAAACACATGCAGTTAAATAATCCTTAAAGTTTAACCACTGTTACTTTGTGAAAATGGACTTACTCTGTGCATTTCAAAGGTTGTGGAGCCTGTGAATATAGAAGCTCTCTTTCCTGGTTTTTGTGGAATGAGAAAACGCCTCCGATCATGATGTCTCCATCCTTTTGAAGCTGTGGGGTTTGAGGTTCTCCCCACAGGTGACAGGAAGGTTCATCTTTCCTGGATAAAGAACCACCACTCAGGAGAACTAAGATTGGGGCTGCCAGCACATGCCACATCGGTGCCTGATTCATGTCTGACCTTGTAGAGCAGGGCTGAACGTGCTTCTGCTCAGACATGCCTATTTATACACTGTGTCTCCTATCCTCAGTGGTAAACGTTACATGGTGCTGTACCTCATGCCGGGGAGCTGCCAAGGAGTGGCCCAGCCTGTACTGTTCACTCAACGACTACCGTAATCACTCCTGTATATGTCGCACACCTAAATTGCCAGTTGCCATGAAAATTAATTTTTGAAACTATTTACATGTCATCTACATCTTTAATAGTTAGTTTTTGTAGACTTATTAATGTGGCCGGTCTGCTACATCCTTTTCAATGGTTGCCCAGAATAAGTTCTATATCTGAGGACTGCCAGAGAACTTAAATTGTTGTCCTAGAGACAGTGTTCTTGTTCAGCCATTTAACATTATAAGTGGTGAAAGCTTTTACTCTTGAAATCTATGCCAAAACTCTCATTACTAAAGGAAGACATAACAAGTAAGGTAGATCAAAGTGTAAACATGATTTATTTATATCCATATGGAGTTTGTCACAAGTATTTTAATATAAAAATTACTTTGAAATTGTGCCTTCATTTCTCATGAAGGACTATATGGAGATAAAATACAGTTCATGAGCATAAGGTAATGTTATGGTCTTCCTAAATTTGCCTCCTTATTTAATAGTATGTGATCAATGATGCACAGATAACTTGTAACAGGCTTTCTCTATATGCAGATAACATATGAGATGAATAAAATCAACATTGTTCTTTAGCAAACAGTACACTGTCCAGGTCCACAGTGTACAGGACAGGAGCAGAAGAAGGGGCACTGTTAATCCTGGCTCTGCTGCCCTGACCTGTTGAAGAGGGGGGCATAGTAGTGTGGAGTGTGCTGTCCTGGCCTGGCACAGATAATGACCCCTGGTATGGCCTGTGGAAAGCAGAGCCACTCTGTCATTGGGTCTTGTCAGTCCAGCACCCTTGTCAATGAGGATCTTTTTACTGATTGGTATGAAAATAATTACACATCACAGTAAATTCTAGCTATGGTGTACTCTACAGAGCTGTGTAAAACATACCCAAATCACAGGAACACCTCAGTCACTTTGCCTTGTGTGATTACCATAGCAAAACTGCTTATTTTATTCAGTAATAGAATTCTTTACTGATTATTGACCTTTAAGGATGTTAAAGACTTATTGACATGAATTTTTCTCACTATTTTGTATTTTTTGCTGGGTTTAATAATATCATGTCATGAGCTGCTTTATTTGTTGTATTATACTGATACTAGTAGGATCATTAGGAGGCTTCTTCCACTACTGTGTTTAACTGAAGTGAAGTAGAAGTTTCGGTAACTTGAGCAATTGTAAATAAGAGTATTATTTGGTTGATTGCATTTGAGCCACCAGTTCACTGGTATTTCCACATCTCACGGTTCACTCCCACCTGCCTCTGAAAATGTTTGTGGGTTATCACATTACCTCCCCCTAACCCCTGGCAAACTTTAGCATGGTAGCATGATTACCATGATTTTTTTAGTATTCATTTGGAGGTCTTCCCAGTACATTTATGACTGACTTGAAAGTAATTAGTATTACTATTGCTGTCTTGGAACCCATTGTGTGTAAGCACATGAGTTCAAGGTCATTACTGAGTGAGACATTGGACTTGAGCAGTGTATGTCTCTTAAACATGAACAGAAAATTACTGTATATAAGAAAACTGGCCAAAAACAAACAGCATTTAATATATATTTTTTGGTAGAAGTAATGACGGTACCTCATTAACATATGCCATTGGCATGGTCATCATTCCACTCACACACAGCAAGATTAAGCTTTTATTACACTGATTGACTATTATGATGATGAGTCAAATGGCTATTTGCAAAACAGTATTTAGGCATAGACCGCATCTCTCTTGCCTTGTTATTGACCATTTTTCACTTGTGACCTTACAGTCTGAAAAAAACAAGTCAATAGTTTTACATTTTTATTTGTATTATTTTATTTTTCCATATCACACATAAGATTGTGAGAAAGTGTTTATTAACAGCCTGTGTTTGACTAAGTATGCAGGAGTCTTCATTGAAAATGTACTTCCTTAGTCACCTTAGTTCCTCTGTCACTCATTCTGCCTCTGTGATGAAGTCATTGTAAGAGCCATTGTTAGGTCAGGTGTTGTTTTACTCCAGATTGGTTCTCGCCACTGCAGTTTCACCATGCCAGTCTTGTAGCAAATACAGCTAAATGTCACCCATCTGTGACAGCGGCGTGTTATATGGGATGCATCTTGGGTGGGGGGTTGGTACGCCCTCAGGTGTATAAAGTGCACCCCATAATTTCACAGCCTGAGGAACAAATGACTTGAAGGCAGGCATTCTGGTTAAACAAAAGGGGTTTAATTAACTAAATACACAAAGTCTAGAAACAAGCGGAACCGTGAGAGATCCAGAACGGGATGACTTGAAACAAGAAAGCACACAGGCAACATGAAGATTCAACATTAATGACCAGACTGGGGCTGACGAGATAAACAGGTACTTACATACAAGGACTAATGAGGGGTAGCAAGCACCAGGCATGACACAACAGGGCCATGTTAGGGAGGAGGCAGGAGGGTCAGGTGTACAGAACATGACAGATAAGACAGTGCCCTCCTTCCACTACAAAGAAGGGAGTGCGTTCATTTTTGGGTCTGATCGGCTGGTATCGGGTTCATACCGAATTTTCCAACATGTGACACTCCTCTTACTGAAAAGCTCACCAAGCAAGGGTCAGGACAATTTGGTTGCAGACTGTTTGTCCCACTTACAAGAATGGATTCATACTTAAGGGAAGGGGTATGTGATGCTGTCTCTGGGATAATGGCATTGACATTAATAAAAAATAAAACAAATCATGATTTTTGTAAATGGTATAGGTTGGCTGTGTGTGTAAATAGTATAGGTAGAACAGCCATATGATTCACGGAATATGTTTGTATACTTTATTACTTTATGTTAATCTGACTGTGATCACTGTTGTTTGCTTATGTATGCATGACACTTGATTGCTTTAATTGAGTAATAGTCAATTCTGGTTTCAAGTTAATTGGGAGAATTATATATATACACTCACCTAAAGGATTATTAGGAACACCATACTAATA